GCGTAGTAAAATTAGAAATTGAGGAGGTGCAGCTCGGTTTCAAAGTAGCAATTCTGTTCCAGATAGAGTGGAAATCATGGGTCTTGCTGAGAGCGCAAGTGAAATACTGGCAGACAAGACCATAGTTTCTGTCCCGGAGCACTTCAGCTTAGACGAACAGCAAAAGGAAGGACCCTATAGAGGAGACTGTGATATAAGAGGAAACTAAGAATATAATGTATTAGAATACGAACCAAAAAACGTAGTTATCCACTGTCAAATGCTGCTGATAAATTGAATAAGATTGAGTGGCGAGACATGATCAAGATGGCGGATGGTAGCGACATTTGCATAAACAGTTTCTGTAGAGCAATGGAGAAAAAAGCTTGATGGTGACTGGTTTATGGTAGAAGTGGAGGAAAAGAAAGAGGGTAGGAAGGTTTTCTTTTTTCTTTCTTGTTTTTCGTTATAAAAAGCAATGAATGAAGTAGACAGTAGTGTCTAGGAGAAGAAGTGAGATCCAGGGTTTCTGTTTGTAAGTTTGGGATAAATAAGAGCATGCTCAGCCCTAAGAATGAATTAATACATTAATGCATCAGAAACTTCTTTAAAAGGCAGTAGGAAATATCTTAGACGTTTTCAGCCATAGAGCCTGAGATATTATGAAAGCAACCATAGAGTATATAAAGAATGTGTCTGACAGTTATCCAATGAAAATTAATTTACAATAATAGCGCGGGAAATTAGTTTGCTATCCTTGAACTGATATAAATGGAACAAATGATGATTAGGAGGGGACACAGATAACAACTTGAATGATATACTTGCATATGTGTTGTAGTTAGAGTTTACAAGGGAAAAGATTTAATACAGGATACATAAGTCATAGTATCATTTTATAATAATTACCCAAACAGTAAATGCAAGAGATTAGGAGATCTGTCCACACACTAAGGACCCAGAGAAACCAGCGGAGGGCCTGGATCCCACAGCAATGTCCTGCACAAGTACAGTTGAAAACCTAGAGCCTACGGTAATGTCCTCCATGAGTGCAGCTGGAAGCCTAGAGCCCATGAAAATGCCTCATGCAAGTCTGCACCAAGGAAGGGCCAAAGGTCAGTGCTAGAAGCTAGAAAATCCGAACTAGTGGGATGAAGGATCTGTACCAGCAGGCTGAGGGCTCTGCACTGGAGCCAGGAAGCAATGCTCAAAGTAAGGACCAGAGCGCCCCCAAAGAGAGCAGCAGCCATCCTCAGTGACAGTGAGGACTGGGCTCCTCCGACAATGAGAACAACCAAGTTCATATCAGGAAAACCAGTGTGACAAGCTTGTCCAGGAGAATCAACGCACACCATCTTCCCCTTCAGTTCTCTTTTTCAGGCTATTGGCAACCATCCTCATGTGGGCTTTCCACACCCAGGACCATGCTGATTCTGTTCAGCTGGGTGTTACAAGTTGACCACTGCTTAATACACTACAGTATATGACAGGACCTGGGGTGTATGCCAGGAGGCAATGTGGGAGCTTAGATTAGGAGTTCAAGTAAATTTTCAAAGAAAGGGGAACGAAAGTGTGCATAGCTTGGTAGAAACTGAGAGTAATCCTAGAAAATCTCTTCAAATTGATTGTCAAAGAAGTGAGAAGTGAGAAACAAGATCATAAATGGATGAATATTTAGAACTTTGGAGTATTAAGAAGACTAGATATGATAAATAATCATATGAAAGAGTTGGAAATAATTAAACTAAGGAAATACTGTGGATAATTATAAATATCCAGTTCTCAGTTTGAAATATCCAGATGTTTTTACATTGGGCATTGTGTTCATTTAATTTTCATTATAGTTATTTTCTGAACCCCACACTACTCTTCTGGCAAATAACAACATAAGTTAAATCTCTTCACTTTAGTACTCAAAATAGTTATTTCTGGCCCTAGAGAAAAAGAATAAAACAGGGTGTTGTTGAAATAAATTAATAATCCTATTTTCAGACAGTAAAGTCGGTCATGCAGTTTTCCCAAATATTTTACTAGCTAAGCAAATTTTATTCCTGTCAGAAATTTGTTTTGCACTGTATTTTCTCTTGTACCTTTGTCTCTGCTGCATGCATTCATCAAATTGAATCTTAATTTTCTCTCAGGATTTACTAACATTTGCTTCAATGATGTATTTATTCTGAAAGAGTTCAAATATAATGCAATATATTATTCCTATTGTTTGTACAATATTTTCCATCAATAAAAAATAAATTATTGAAACAATATGTTTACATTGATTGCTACAAAAGTTACATGTGGATTGGTAAATCAAAACAAGCTCAGAAAAGATAGAAAATCAATTGATATGTCAGATAGAAAAGGCATGATTACTGATATCAACCACTGAGTTGACATTTTTCCTCATGAAATAATTTAATTTACAAGAATTTGAAGCAATTTGTGACTTTGAACATAGTAATATGCTAAAAAGTAGAAAGCCAAACATATTGATCTGTTGTTGTATTAATGATACCTCAAACAGAGGCAAACATCATATTTTAAAAGCAACAGGTATTGTTCTCTAGGTCAATCACCAAAGCATTCTGCAAAAACAATCAAAACTGTACTATTAGCGTTATGTACTAAATGATATTGAAATTCAAACAATGTACTATGTACAGTTTAACATGGAAACTACATCTTTCTCCACAGATTTGTTACCCAGTTGCCAGCAGTTGAATTGTCAGTACAAGTGTGCAATGGTCAGAAATAGTACAAGATGTTACTGTGAAGATGGCTTTGAAATAAAAGAAGATGGGAGAAGCTGTGAAGGTGTGTATGATATATAATTCTATGTGTGTGAGTTAGCTTTCTGGTAGTGTTACAAAATACCTGATTGTATTAACATAAAAGAGGGAAAGGTTTATTTTGGCTCAGCATTTGGAGGTTCAGGTCCCAGACGGATTGGGACCATTGCTCCTGGGCCTGTAGCAGGACAGTACGCCATGGTGGGAACACATGAGAGAGGAAGCCTGCTCACCTCATGGCCATCAAAGAAAGAAAGAGCTAAAGAGATAAAGGTCCCATAACCCCGTATGAGGCTGTGTGCTCAATGACCTAAGGCTTCCTGCAAGGCCGCCTCATTAGTGCCACATACTAAGCATGAATCTTACAGGATATGGGCTCTTGGGTGACATTTAAAATCTAAGCTATAACACTGATCAAAATTTTGAAAAGCTTAGTTAACAGAAACTGGAATCTCTGAGCACCTGTCATGTTTAACACTCAATATGTATCTCTTTTATTTCTTGAGATTTATAAATTCACATTTACCCCAAACATAAATTTATATAGGAATTTAAATCAATCGATTTTCAATATATGTTGCACTAATATAAAAAATATAATATAATAATATAAAAAATGGAAATAATATAGATAGATGGATAGAGAAATAGAGAGATAGATAGAAGATAGATAGATATTACATAAAGGCTAATTTTTTTTTTTTTTTTTTTTTGAGACAGGGTCTCGCTATGCAGTTCAGGCTGGCCTTGAGCTCACTTTGTAGCCCAGGCTGGTCTTAAACTCATAAAGATCCTCCTGCCTCAGCCTCGCAAGTGCTGAGATTATAGGTGTGCACCACCACACGAGGCTCAAGGAGAAATGTTTTATTTAACAGTAGATTTCATTTTCTTAAGCAGTATGTTTGCTCCTTTTTAATCATATTAACATTTAGGTGTGTTATACCTCTCATCCTGCTGTAATTTATCAGAAAGGTGAATAAATAACTGAAATTATTATTACTAATCATATAATATTCTTTATGATATTTGTATTGCTAGTTGAGCCAGCAGCTCTCATTCTTCTAAAACCAACAATAATAAATTAATGAAAAAAATATGTATAATATTATGGGTGTCTTAACAACTCCCTCTACTATGCTGAGAAACTCTGTAATTTCTCCATTATTCTGACTAACTCCAAGTATATGTAATCTGAAAATGTATGTATTCTAGTTATATACATTATCTTCTGAGTTAGTTCGAATCATCAATCTATATATTTTAAATATACTGTATATATAATATTATATTTTTATGTGTAGTATATATTTACCTTTAAAGGTGCTTTCTTTTATCTTTTTACATATAAATTTGCAGGTATATAAAATCAGGGAATAGCTTCACTGGTTGCTCAAAACAGTCATGAGTATTTTCCAAAGGAATTGTGCTTTGTCAGTTATTTCACACCTTTGTTTTAAAATTATCACTGTAACCATAATGTAGAATCTCAAAGTTCAAAGAATCCTTAAGGAAATCATTTTTGAAAATCTTGCTGACAGAAACAACACAAGTGAGATCCTAAGATACTAATTGACTTGCTTAAATTCACACTTCTCAGTAACACTGCTGATAGGTAAACTCTGGTCTGCCTAGCTGTGTTTTTGTTATCCTGAAGAGACTCCCTGCCTTTCTTGGGGCTTGAATTTTAGTTTATTATTTATTTGTTTTGTGTATAATACAAATGTTGTGAAATATTTATTATTCCTTAACCTTCCCAGAAGCTTCTATAAGGAGACAAATTGATATAGTTGTGTCACATTGTTTTAAACCAACACTTGAAAGTCAGGAGATCGCACATAAAATTTTTGACTTTATGAAAAATCAGGCAGCAGTAGATCCCTCATAATCACTGAGGTCAGCCTGGTATAAATAGTGCCACATAAATGTGTCATTGGATATGCTTGCAATTTGTAGTTCAAAATATGCCTGTCTGTTTATACACCTCTATTGTATCTTTCTTACTCAATCACTACAATTTTCTCCTGTAGGAATCAAGATTTGCGTTCCTTTTGCAAGGCTAGAATTGAATTAAATCTTGGATTCACTAAAATTTTAATGAAAAGAATAACATAGTCTGTTTCTTCTGTTGAGGATTCATAAAGAATTGCATAGCAATTATTTTGGAACTCACCAGTGAAAAGGAAGTTTTTCTCTGAATTCTTGGATAACCAGGTCTGAGAATCATTTATACTTCCCTGAAACTGTAATTCCAGTCAGTTCTCTGCCCTGAAAGGAGAAGAAGATAGAGGAGCAGGAGGACGAGGAGGAGGAGGAGGAAAGTTGGCAGGATTCAATTTTCTGACATACTTATTTCACTGTGACCAATTTTGTGGAATTTGATCAGTGTCACAGCAGTATGTCCAAAGTACAAAGAACAAAAGGAATCATTCATCACATATCTCTCCTGAATAGCATAATCACATCAGAAAAGGTGAAATAAAAATAAATAATATTAAAGAGAAAATATCTGTGAAAGTATAAAAATCATTGCTGCAATCAGAGGCTAGATTTTACCAACTGCAAAACAAAATATTCTTTCAGTATAACTTCAGACTTCATTCCAAACACTGCTCTTCCTAACACCAAAACTACTTCAGATGAGTGTTCCACCACTATAGATTATCATAGCACAGTAGAGCACTCTGAACATGAGTGCAAATCAAATGCACAACCTTCCAATTTAAATAAATTCTTCTTCTGCTCAACAACCTTCTTGCTTCCCCTTAGTAAGTTTTTTTTCTTAGTTTGAGTTTTCCTAGAAGCAAACTCTAAAACAGAGTTTTAGTATCTGTTCATTTTTCTTTTCTGTTCTTTTTTCTTTCTTTTCTCTTTTTCTATTTTCTTTTCCTTTCTTGCCTTTCTTTTTTTTTTTTTTTTTTTGCTAATGATCACTCAGTGAAAGTGGATAGAGAAATATTTTGAATTATTAAGCAGGGTAAAGCAAAGTTTCACTGAACTTATGTGTGTCAAAATCATCCAATACGCTAAGCCAGGAAGTATTCTCCAGTTTCCTAGCTGTAAATGGTTGTACGCCAGAGCTGGAACCATCTTGATGGCATCTACCCTGCCCTAGTACAGAGCTACTCCCAGGAGAAGCAAGAGGCTTGCAGAGGTGCAGCCCAAGCCCCGGAGGATGTGGACACACGCTTAAACATCTGAAGGCTAAGAGCAGGCAATTTTTAGTATAACTCATTCAATGATCACATCCAAATTTTACTCTAAGTCTTTTATTCTCTTAAAAAAGGTTTTCTGAGTTGACTCCCTTTAGTATTGCTTTATTTTTCTAAACATACACTTTGTAAGTACCATCTGATATTAAATTAACTTATTTCTCATGATTTGTATTTGTTCCGTCTCATACTTCTTTTGCTCGCATTTCAGAAGTTTACTTTTTTATTGATTGTTTTCTTTATTTGTAATGAAAATTCTATCTAAATGAACTTCTGCCTTAACTTGATTCATCAACTTTTACTATTTTATGCTGTATCTTTAAACATCACCTCTTTACTCTCACACCACATTCAATAAATGTTCCCACTTCTCCAACACTGAAATGAAAACAAAAGCAGGAACATTCAAAACAAACTTTTCCTAGATCCCGCAGCCATCATTCCCACCTCACTCCCCCTTTATCATCAGTGACCTTCGAGGACTGACCTCATCTACCTTCTCAGCTTTGGTATCCTACTTTATCCCTCCATTCACTGCTATCTGATTTGCAACCCTATCACTTAAGTAAAGCAGCTTTAAATATTTCTTTTCCACTAAGATGCAGTTAAGATGGGCTAAGATCTTGAATTTTATCCCCTAAGAACTTTTAGAGTCTTCTCCATGTACCTGTCATTTCCCAGATCTCATTCTTTATCTTCACTATAAACTCCTTCCACTCAGGTTTCATTTGAGATTACGTGCGGCTTTTCTCCATTCTGTACTCAGCAGACCAGAGCTGAAACTCAGCTGTTTGCCTAGCAACCCCTCAAATTACAGAATGAAATTTACTCAAACAAGATCAATTGTGTATGCGCTAGAATTTGTTACGAACTTGGAGTGAGGAGGCTTCACGTGACAACACAGGAACTCTCTATTATGCCAAGATCACTACACCAGTTTTCCAAATGATAAATCCGAAAGACAATTTTAATTTTTATTTTGTTGAATTTTTTCATTGTATGTAACTCTTTTAAACACGATGCGCCTTAAGGTGTTTCTTAGTTCCTTAGGCCGGTCAGTGTCCACGGGTTCCTTTTCTTGCCTCCCCTTTGACCTCTAGGAATGTTTTGTCCAGACATTTTTTTTCTTCCTTTGCTGTTTCTCTGTAGAAAATCAAACTTCTCCTCCTTCTCCTCCTTCCCCTCCATCTTCTTTTAATCTACTGTGTATACATTACAACAAGGAAATTCTCTAGGACAATCTTTGCTGCATATATTACCAGTCCCATATTTCTAATTGCCTACTACACATTTTCTCAAGGATGCCTACAGCAATCTCAATGTTCACATAAACAAATCAAACTCATTTACTCCTTCCCTGATATCTCTGCCGTAATCTATTCTTTCCATATGTTCTAATTGAAAGTTGAGTCACTGTTCACTTTGGTCATACCCAATCAATTTTCAAAACTTATCTATTCTATTTTTTTTTTTTTTGAGACAAGGTCTTGCTAAATAGTTTAGGTTGGCCTTGCATTCACTATGGAGCCCAGTTTGTCCTTAAAATTGTGGCAATCCTCCTGCCTCAGCCTTCCAGCAGTCTATTGTAGGTCTCTAACTTCTGAGTTCATTCCCTTTTTGCCATTTTTACTGCCTTTTCCGTAATTCAAAATATGCTTCAAAGTGCAGTTTGCTTTCTGCCATTTGCACTTAACTGCACGATCCCTTCCTTGCACTCATCCGTGTTTCTTTTTGTCATACATTTTATAATACCCACCTGATCACATGGATCCTCTGACCGATGCTTTCTTCGTCTCTGTGCAGTGTACGGCACCTTGGCTTAGCATACACGTTACTCCTTTAAGTGGCCTCCCAAGCACTTCATGACCTAATCTCTTTCCACTTTCTCTGATGCACCCTCATTTCCTCAACTCTATGCCTCCATGACACTCTCAGTATGCCATCCCAAGGCCTTTTACATGGTATTTTATTTAATTGAAGTGTTGCTTTCCATCTTTAATCATGCTCCCACTTACTTTTTTTGTCCAAGAAAATCTAGATTATTCTTCAAAGTCCAGATTATTCTTTGAAGTAATAAAGTTTTCACATAATATTATGACTTCATTCCTAAACAACTCTGAGTAGTTTTCATAACTAGAGTGTGTTTCATTATAAGACAGTGTATGGCACCATTGTGACATTCCATGAGACTTGTCTTATGTAGCAGAGGACACATATTTTTGCAATTCTGTTTTCTTCAGAGATTAGGACTGTGTTTAGGGCACAGGACAGACTACTTTCATCTACATAATTAACTTCTGACAAGATGTCTTTTTATTTTTCTGGTCAGTGAAGCATCATTGAGCACCTACTGATTACAAAGTTTTAACCAGATGCTAGAGAAAGAAAACATACAGAAAGGATAAAACAAATTAGTACAAGGAGGATCACAAACATCAAAATTAAATGTAATGAAGATAAAATTCTGGGTTTAATAATTCTCAATACTTTCCCCTTTTTAAATTAGTTGTGATGATTTATATAGTGTAGCTCAGATCTCTTATTTAATGTGTGACTCAAAAATCACGTTACTAGAATAATTCTTTGTTTTTTTTTTTTGTTTTTTTTTTTGGGGGGGGTTTCTCCAGTACCACGAATCCAACTCATGACCTCGCACTTGCCAGACAGGTGCTCTGCCACTGAGTTAAATCCCCAGCCTCTAGACTAATTTTTTATTAACAGTGAAAAAGTCAATATTTTAAGCACTGGAACTATTTAACAAATACTTATTACAATGCATTTTGTACTTTTAAAAGTTTCCTAGGATTTCTACCCTGCCAATCACAAACATAAATAAAAGGTTTTTTATAATACATGATTTGTTATTAAATCTGATATTTTCTTTCTGTAATTATCAAGGCAATGATGAACTTGGCTTTCAGTTAGTGTGACTTTGGAAGGATTATAGTTATGAGCTCTCTTTAAAACAATACTGTATTTCCAAATTTCAAATATACATATTTTCCTCAAGGAGAAATAAAGTGCCCAAGAATAAAGCTGCATAAAATAATGCTGCTTTTCCTTTTAGATCAAGATGAATGTGCTCTTTATGGAACCTGTAGCCAGACCTGCGTGAATACGCACGGCTCCTATGCCTGCGGGTGTGTAGAGGGCTACATAATGCAACCAAACAACAGGTCTTGCAAGGCCAAAGCTGGTAAGCTATGATGTGTTTTGTCTTTTCAAAATTTCTTTTCATTTTACAATTCCTTTCCATTAGAAAATTTCCTTCATTTTAATGCACTCGTCCATAATTAGAAATCCGGAACACATCCTTCAGTTGTCGCTGGTTACTATAAAAGTTTTTCTGCTGCAGAAAGTTTCTAAGTAGCAAAACCTATTCAAAAGTGAAGAATTAAGCGATTGGAATCACCCATCTTTTTTCTGGACTTTGGCAAAAAGAGTTCTTAATGTATTCCTAACAGAATTTGCATTGCCTCCAAAATTCGTGCTCCACATTAAAGTAATCTGCTAAACCATAACCCAGGTCATGTTGTTCTCTTCCCTAAACTTCTGAACAATTTTAAGTCATCCTGAGAATAAAATGTGAGCCACTCACAGGACAATGACAGCATAACGATTTGGTGCAGTTGCCCTTCTGGTCCCCTCTGTCCTTACTCTGTCCTTCCTTTGTCAACGTGAGCTGTGCTCATTTTCTTTGCTTTCTTGAGCAGTACTGATCTTACCTTGAAGTCATTACATTGGCTGGGCTGTTTTGTTTGTTGATTGGTGAGTTTTTTGCCTACAGTGTGATGTTTATATTAATGTCTATGTCTTAACATTTAATTCTCAGCTGAAATATGAGCATGCAAAATGATCTTCCTAAACCATTCTATTTAAATATATACTCTCTCTCTCTGTGTATTGCTAGCTTATTTTCAGTTTTATATTCTTCATAGCACTACCATTTGAAATTAACTCATTTATATATTTAGTTGCTTACTACATGATTTTTCCAACATAATATCAAAAAGAAAGTAAAAGAGGAAAGGAAGGAGAGGTGCTGGAAGGAGGAAAAAGGAAAGAGAGAAAAAAAAGGAGTGAACTATCTTTTTAATTAAAGTTACTAAAAAAGCGTTTTCTACTCTTCACTGTTTGAATTTCATGCTTCAGAACTGCCTTTTTATGCCTGGCGTGGTGGTGCACTACTGTAATCCCAGCACTCTGGAGACTGAGGTAGGAGGATCATTGTGAGGTCGAGGCCAGCCTGGGCTACAAAGTAAGCTCAAGTTCAGCCTGAACTGCATAGGGAGACCCTGTCTCAGAAAGACAAAAAGCAAAAGAAAAAAAAAAAAAAAAAAAACTGCCTTTTACATCTTACCCACAAATAAACCTTGTAGTTTTTATGTAATTTTTAGCCTACATTAAACACTAAGTACCATTGATGTATTGATTACTTATAACTTTAAAATTCACTAATAACAATCAGAGAATGCTAATTTTTTGCATGCTGAATTAGCTTGGGAATAGTAGAGGGTTATATTATACATGATATTCCATCTAGTTTCTTTTTTCCAACTTCTGTTTAACCTGGTTTCATGTACGCTTCCTCAAATTATGTTGTTTTGACAAATTACTAAGCGCCCATCCTCCGCCTTATTAACAACTGGCAATTTAAGCATGGGATGGGATTGTTTCTCTCAGGGCACATCGTGGGAAACATTGGGTTTTCTCACCAAGCTGCTGCTGTCTGCTCCCTTTACACATAACCACATGTTATGCTCAATGATTTCCCTGAGATAGTGTCATTAATAATTTATTCAAGTTATTTATATGCAAAATCACAAAGAAAGAAGCACTTCTTACTTCCTTCAATTATTGCCTTTGTGATGAAGCCCTATTTGTTTTGGGGAAGCAATCCTTGAGAAAAATCAGTTCGTGTTATATGATCCACTTTTTCTCACCACTGAGAGTTTTGATTTAAAATATTGATGGACTAAAGTAGTAGAAGTCGTGTTCTTTGCTATTTATATTGATCCACACAATATCTCTGTGATTACACTAGAAGAGTGTAACATGATAAATCTCATACAACAAGGAAGCACTCCTCATTCACACAAAGAGGTTATCTGACAAAAATAGACTGATAGCAGAGAGGAATGATACATGATAATGTCTTACTACAACAGGGAAATTTGATGTCTGTAGCATAGATAATGAAATATACAAATAGCTTCATCTTTTGGTTCTTAGCTTGGCAACAATATTGACCTACAGAGGTTGAAAAATGCAGAATTCCTGGGGAATGTTGTACTTTAGAGCATCAGGGAAATAAGTTTCTAGTAATATGGGCACAACTGTATAACAACACTAATTCTAAAGGTCACATGGGGATTTGAATCAACTCATTTGTAGAATTTAAGAGGAAAATTAAAGGATTTGTTTGTGTTTCTTCATATTTATAGCAAATAGACCAGAGGAAAGTTTTGGCTTTTGATATCTATACAATTCTACTTAGTAAAGCAGGTTTTAAAATTTTGTGCCAGTTTATGGCACAGATGATTATACATGATACTCCATCTAGTTTTTTCTAACTTCCCTTTAATCAAGTTTTGTATTATGTGATAGTGTTTTATGTCCAACTTCTGTTAGTAGAAGGCTATAAATTAAAGCCTGCTTGTCTTTAGTCTTACTATTACTGTCTTTGGACAACTGGCCAATGCTTTTGGCTGGCTGGCTAAGATTGGCCCCCTCTTTTGCTTTTACCTACAATTTTATTCTGCCAGACTAAAATAACTGATACTCCCTTAAGTAGTTCCAGAGCTGTCAGCTGCTGGGGATCCTGAGAAACTGGGAAGGCGAGAGAAGACGATCTAAGTGTAGACTTGTGTAAAAGATCTCTAGACTTAGAACAACATAACAATATCAAGTCTACGTGATACACTGAAGAAGCAGGTTCTGCAAAGGCTCTACAAGATGAACGACACAATCAGAAATACTGGAAGAATGGGGTGGGGATTTAACTCAGCGGCAAAGTGCCTGCCTGGCAAGCTCAAGGTCGTGAGTTCGGTTCCTGGTGCCGGAGGAAAACCAAAAAAAAAAAAAAGAAATACTGGAAGAAGTAGGGTTTTAGAGGTCAATTGGCTGAGAAGCTCTTACAAAGGTCTAACAGGGTGTGGCCTAAATTAGTACCATAGTATCTCTCAACTACTCACTGCAAAGCATGCTGTAAGGCTTTATTTTCAGTGTGACAAGTGACGGTAATTAGGTAAACCAATCTAAATTAATTGGTTATTCCAACTTTGCAATATAGTGCTCGCACCCAAGTAATATTCATAAGCCTTAGGAGCACCTTTAAGAAGTAATTGGAGTGGAGGGAGTGGATTTTAGGCACTGTGACAGATGGAAGAGAGATTAATGTTAGGCAGGAAACTTTTTCGTTCCTATGGACTAATGTAATGCAGAATTTTGACATTTCATAAGATCGACTCCTACTATTAAAATATTATAATCATTCATTTCAGAGTAGAAAGACAATCTCATCCACCTCTGTACTTCACAATGTGTATTTCTTAACTGAGTAATTACCAAAAGAAAGGATGTCTGCAACATACATTTTCTGAAAATAACTTTAAATATACCCACTTGAATAGTTCTATGGTATAGGAGAAGACATGAAATAACAATCATCGTGATATAACAGTCATCACTCTGGAATGCCATATACACTAACAGTTGGTACTTTTCTAATTCAATATGAAGATATTTTTAATTTGGAAAGAAGTTGAAAACAACCATTGGTGGACACCCAGTAAAAATTCCTGTATGGCTTTACTTTGTGTTTTCAGACTAGATTTCTCATAATGCCGTGATAAATTGGAAATATAAGGATTTGGGGGAAGTTAGCTTTCTTCCCCATAACTGATTTAAGCTGGCTTTGCTGTGGAAATGAATGCTGGAAGTGGTAAAGCAGAGATGAAAGCTGGCTCCTGTAGATCCAGGAATAGGGGGAGGGGTGAGCTGTTGGCAGTGGTGTTCTGCATAAATTCAGGCTCCCTCTACTGTACTTCTCAGTGTCCTAACCATTTCCCAAAGGCAGGAACTTGCACCTAAGATACAAAATCTTTCTAACCACGAGGGATCTACTGATTGTACTGAAGCAGCAGCAATGTGAAGAACACTAAATTTTATGCACGTCACTGTAGAGCAGTGCATCAAATGGTGCCCTAAAAAAGATTATATCTCTTTGCTATGGAGCAACTATAGCAATGAGAGGCAAAAGCATGTTAAATAACTTCCATTACAGCTTCTATTTTGCTGTTCATTGATTAGGGAAAAAAGTGTTTAGACGTTACAACTCCTAGTTGTAAGAACAGTAATCATAATCCCCACGGAATTACAGCACTAAACAGCAATAGGAAGAGAAGGTTTTCATACTACTTGCTGTTTTCCTTGCTACAACTTTTAAAAGACAGAAAAGAGAAATAAAAAATAACTTTCTGCGCCTTTTAATTCAAACTCTTAGGGATACTTTAACATCATTTATTAGATAAGTTATATTCTCTTTTTTGAGGTAGAGGAATTACCTGTGGTTTGCTGTTAGGGCTTATTCTGTCTGTGGGAGAAGAGCGAATTCCTGTAAAGTGGGGGAATTCTCTGTCTAGAGTATCCTATCATCCACTTGGTAATGTGACTGTACTGAAATGTTGTGGGCCAAGAATAGCAGTCAGAAGTCTGATAAAGATTCAAAGGAATTTTTTTCTCTGCTTTTGCTTTTTTACTCAGGACCGACTCTAATTTTGCTATAGTATTGACTTCAGAGAATTGTGTGCACAGCTCTCTAAAACTTTCTGCCAGTATCTCTACTTCACCTGGGCATAATACCCTAAAACAGCTGACTGTCAGCTACACAAGTACTGCTGGAGGACAAGCACTCCTATCAGTAATCAGATTATATTACTGAATTTCTATAGTTTAAGAGTTATAAAGCTACCCAGACTGTCTTTGTAATTTTGGCCTTTTTGCCTGGCTATTGAAAGTATTTTTCTATTTAATTGAATTACAGTATTTATACCCCATGTCTTCTGAAGATCATCACTAAATTGGAGATTAAATTGCATAGAAAAGAAAGTCAAGAATTTCTGATGAATTTTCCTTACCCAAATTACATTTTCCCCTTACTTAATGAGCAGTACCGATACTTTGTTTTTTTTTTTT